TACCAGGGTCTACCAGGGTCTACTAGGGTCTGCCAGGGTCTACCAGGATCTACTAGGGTCTACCAGGGTCTACAAGGATCTGCCAGGGTTTCGCGGTACCCACATCGAGAGAGACGTGATGTGAGTCGTTCCATGGCACCCACAACGAGAGAGACGTAATGTAAGTCGTTCCGTGGCACCCACAACGAGAGAGATGTGATGTAAGTTGTTTCGCGGCACCCACATCAAGACTTTAGTAGACCCTGGTAGACCCTGGCAGACTCTAGTAGATCCTAGTAGACCCTGGTAGACCATAGTAGACCCTGGTAGACCCTAGTAGACTCTGGTAGACCCTGGTAGACCCTGGTAGAAACTGATAGAAAGTGAATTATTTTGTAATTCATTTACGTCATTCAATGTTTGCGGGGTATGTCCATTTTTGTAATGTATGAATGGGTTTCTCAGAGCTCGGAAACCCTTTCTCAGAAACCTATAAAGAGTTTCATATAGGGACAAACCCGGAAACCCTTTATAGGTATCCGACAAAACTTTTATTTTTTAGAATGTAGCATTAGGATTATTTGCTTAAGAATATTTCTAAATAAAGTTCATGTTTTAACTACGATTTTGTACTGTACGACTAGAAACTCCTTTTTGATTATGCGTTTTTCCAGTATTAGTTTGAAGTGCTTCGTGGAAAAGTAACTTTATGTATGTCGCATAAAAAACTACCATCGGGAAGTTATCACGAAAATCTCCTTAAGTACGTGGTACTGAAAAGTATGATTAAGTATTTCTAAAAAAATTTACTGTAAGTACATGGCATACAAAAACTATTATTCAGTACTTCCCTAAAAAAGTACTTTTCAGATGTTATTGCACAACCTCAATCTCAACCAATTTATAAGGTAGTTCTATGTACACATGTTTGTACACAAGTTTGATCAAGTGCAGTAATATCAAACTTGAAAAGTTCAATTCAATTATTCCATGTATTGAATAGTTGAATTCAAGTTTCAAGTTTGCCATATATGGTCAACTGATGTGTATACTCAGTTTAGGACTCGCAGAAGCCGAAAAGAAGAACGATATACATTTAACAGTTTGAATCTAGCCTTGAGAAACGAAAGAAGTAAAACTCCACACGAACTAGTACTACGACGAACTAAAGAATAAAAAGTACTATGACACTAAGTAATACGAAGCAGTGTGCCAGTGTAAGTAATAAAGATTACTATGAAAGTGTAAGTAACGCAAACACAGCACTTACCTTTTACTTGCTAGATTTGCAATATTTATTACCAGAAACTGAAATTATCAACAATGTTCGTCGCTTTTATACCATTAGCTGTTGCTCTTCTTTTCTCTCATTTTCACGCTCTATAATTTTCAGTTGATCGCCTCCTAATTTCTCTCTCTTTCTCTCTCTCCTTTATGCTCCCACATCTCTCTCCTATTCTCTTTCTCTCACCCGGCTATCTTTCTCTCTTTTTTTCGCTCTCTATTCATTCTCTCACTTTTTCTCCGCTTGATTTCTTCTCTCCCTGATCTTGAATCAACCAAGCAAAACACGAGGTTTTTGGAATAAGTCTTCTGCCGAGTGGAATACGATAAGATACAGATCACGAAAAATGCTCTTACTCATCTATATTGCAGGGCTCGACATTGTACAATCTAAACTATAATGTATAATTGGGATCAAATCTGAACTTTGGCTATTAGGCGATTTTTATCTAAAAACAGCCAAAATTTCTGTTATAATTTATAACTGCAATCAAATTTTCGCTTTGGCGATTTAGGGCATCATTAACATGAAAAAATTAACCAAAGTCAGATATGTAAATGAAGTTGCCCGCCATTCGAGTAAATCTTGCCCCAATTCGCCTAGGAACTTATTTCAAGATTCCTATTCTTGTTCCAAGTACAACTCGATGAGCTCTATCCAATGGCATAATTCCATTTTTTATAACTCAAACTATGTGGTCAAAAAATCCAAAATACTGATTTTTTACCCTATGAGTCATCGACTCTGTAGCGTAGATCCTGCCCCAATTTGTCCAGGAACTTGTTCCAAAGCTCCTATTTTTAATTCCAAGTACAACTTGATGAGCTCTATCCAATGGCATAATTCCATTTTTTATAACTCAAACTATGGAGTGAAAAAATCCAAAAACTGATTTTTTACCCTATGAGTCATCGACTCTGTAGCGTAGATCCTGCCCCAATTCGTCCAGGAACTTGTTCCAAAGCTTCTATTTTATTTCCAAGTACAACTTGATGAGCTCTATCTAATCGTATAATTGGATTTTTTATCACTCAAACTATGTGGTCAAAAAATCCAAAATACTGATTTTTTACCCTATGAGTCATCAACTCTGTAGCGTAGATCCTGCCCCAATTCGTTCAAGAACTTGTTCCAAGGCGCCTATTTTTGTGCCAAGTAGAACTTGATGAGCTCTATCTTATGGTATAATTGAATATTTCATACCTCAAACTGTATGGTCAAATCATCTAAAACATTGACTTTTTACTCTAGTATCGATGAATCCCGTAGCATAAATCCTGCCAGAATTCTAGCAGAAGCTTGGTCCAAAGCACGTGTTCTTTTTCCAAGTACAACCCGATGGGCTCTACCCAATAGTATAATTAGATTTTTTTATAACTTAAATTGTATGGTCAAAAAAGCTAAATTACTGACTTTTTACGCTCTTCGATCAGCCTCCAATTGTAGATCTTGCCCCAATTCGTCCAAGAACTTGTTCCAAGTGGAACTCGACGAGCTGTATCCAATGTTATGGTAAGATGTGACATAGTTCAAAGTATGATTTTTCAGATTCTCACTAGCGCCTTCTATCACCAGAAAAGCCATACTTCGAGCTATGTAAGATCTAAGCATACCATTGGATGGAGCTCGTCGAGTTCTACTTGGAACAAGAATAGCAACTTAGGAACAAGTTTCAGAGCGAATTGGGGCAGAATCTGGGAAAATGGGTTCATGAGTCGTCTAGTGATAAATTCGGTTTTTTGGACATTTTGACCACATAGTTTGCACTATCGAAAATTCAATTATACCATTGAATAAAGCTCATCGAGTTGTAGTTGGAACAAGAATAAGAGTCTTGGAACAAGTTCCTGAGCAAATTGGGGCAGTATTTTCTTAACTGGGTCCATGGATCTTATAGGGGAAAGCCTGCTGTTTTGGAGTTTTTTACCACATGGTTTGCGTTATCATTTATCAAATTATACCATCAGATGCAGCTCATCAAGCTGTACTTGGAAGAAGAATAGGAACCTTGGAACAAGTTCCTAGGTTAATTGGGGCGGGATTTACTCGTATCGGGTGCTAACTTCCCTTACGTGAATCTGATTTATAATTTATAAATGGGATAAAATTTCGTGTTGGTTTTTTGGGCCTAGTTTTATGAAAACTCCCCGAAACTTGAATTAACACTTATAAATACGCTTGAATTCTCGTTTGCGCTGTTTGGGCTAGTTTGGTGAAAAGGCAGCGAAAATTTGAATTATAATTTATAATTGGGATTCAATTTTGGCTTTGGTTTCTTAGACTAGTTTTATATAACATTAGCCAAGTTTGAAATACAATTTCTAAATGGGATTAAATTTTCCCTTTCGTTTTTTGGGCTAGTTTTATGAAAATTCCCCAAAACTTGAATTAAGATTTATATATACGCTAGAATTGTCGCTCACGCTTTTTGAACTAGTTTGGTGTAAAAACAGCCAAAATTTGATTTATAATTTATAACTGGGATCAAATTTTGGCTTTCGCTTTTTCGGTTACTTATAGATCAAATTAGCCAAAATTGAAATTATAATATATAATTGGGATAAAAGTTTCGCTTGGAGTTTTTGGGCTAGTTTTATTTGGAATTCTCGAAAGTTTGAATTATAATTTATAATTGGGGTCAAATTTTGGTTTTAGCCTTTTAGGCTACTTTTGTATAAAATTAGCTCATGTTTGAATTATAGTACGTAATTGGGATGAAATTTTGCCTTCGACTTTTGGGTTAATTTTATGTAAAATTCGCAAAAAATTTCAAGTATGATGTATAATTGGGGTGAAATTTGGGATTTTGGCTTTTAGGGCTAGCTTTAGGGAGAATTCCCCAGAGTTTAAATCAGTGGCGGCGGAGCCTGTAGATCCGGTGAGGCCTAAGCCTCACCTGATTTTGACTTGTGTAGGCTAAGTGTCACCGAAATTTTGAATTCGAAGTTTATTCGTTTCTATATAATTTGAAATTTTTCTATAAATAAAATTTTATTTTACTTCGAAAATTAATATCTGCCACGATTTATATGTTGATTGTGATGAAAAAGAGTACAAAGAAACTTGAACGATATAATAAATTTAGACTTAGCGATTCGATTGCATCGTAATGATTCACAGCAACACCTTTAGTTTAGACGTAATGGTGTGTGAAATAAACGAATCGTAGAATTATGCGATATCATGCACACAAAACCAAGAGAAATCTCAGAGATCATTCCCATTTTTAAAAATGTAATCGTATTATTCGTCTTGTGTTGTGAAATATAACCTTAAAATTTTTCTGAAATTTGAACAATAAAGTCTGAAGAATTTTATTGTTTAGCTTATGTAAATATCAACTTACTGAATTTTCTTTATCAAGTTCGTTTCATAAGCTTATCAATATCGTATGAAAATGAATTCATTATTCCATTTTTACTGATAAAAAGTAGATATTATATTTGTGTTTATAAATATTAATAGGATCGAAAATGTTTTTGATATTCTGATAGACTTGAAATTTTAGATTAGAAAAAAATGTCATCAAAACGATCTACATCAACTCTTGAATATTTTACAAAAAAAAGTAAAAGGTCAGAAATTATCTCTTTCGGCAGAAGATTCTATAAAACAAATGACTATAAGTGATTTTAATAATTTTTCAACAAGTTTTCGAGATGAAAAGAGAACAACGTTTACTTCAACTCCGTTTTCATTTCATATTGGCCCAACAAGTTTGTCTAATATTAATAATTTTCAGGAAAACTATAATCAATCTTCAAATCAATTTAGACTTGATAAGTCTGAGAAACTATCAACCACAGATAATTCAATACCACCATTAGCATCTACAACAAATAGTCCCGTATTATTATCACCTACAACAAGAAAAAATAATTTATTATCATTGTCAACAACATCAGCTAAAAAAGATTCAGTATTTGTATCATCAATAACAAATTCCTTAGGTCAAACAATAATAGATATATCTAAATGTCATTTAAATTATTGTAGTTCTTCTAAAGCATATCATCCACTTAAAGAGGATGAATTAGTTTCGACAACAATTAATAAACGATCCTGTCAGAAAAAATGGTTTACAGATTATCCTTAGTTAACATTTTGTAGAATTCTGTTCATAATATGCATAATCTCAATTAAAACTTAAATCTAAAAGAAATAATTTTTTTTCTTGCAGACAAAAAGGAGAGTTTTTTGTCGTCCATGTCGCGAAGCATTTGAACTTGCAGTTCATCCTACTAAAACAAAACTATTTTCTCATCATGTTACTTTTATAGTTAATGGCTATTGTGATTAGAAAAATGCCATATCAAGATTTAAGTTTCATGAAAAAACTAAACTTCACCTGGATTCAATTTATGTCATCAATCAGCAAACGAAACCTAATATAGCAATTCAATTAACATCAGCAACTAAAAAACAACAAGGACAACATCGACAGAGTCTTTCAATTCAAATTTCGTGCATCATATATCTACTTCGACAAGGTCTTGCTCTTAGAGGACATTATGACGAATACAGTAATCTGATTCAATTATTAAAACTTCGAAGTGCTGATAATGAATATTTAAACGAATGGATGAAAAATAAGAAATACATTTCACATGATATTGTTAATGAAATTTGCAAAGAAATTTATTTAATAATCATTCGGGATATTGTAAAAGAAGTACGTATGACAGAAATGGATGTGAAAAACTTAAAAGTCATAATATAGCATGAATATAAATATGTATTCGTCTGCTTCTTCAACTAGGTTACAGATTGCATTTTGAAGATTTAAATAGAATATTAGTTTCTCTGAAGATTTCTCATGCAAATTTGCATAGTTGTCCTTTTATTACAACGAACTAATGCTATAACATAACTTGCCCATAGAACAAGAGAATGCATCAACAGGTCTGATGTAAAATCTTGACATTTCGCTTTATATATTCTATAGAAACAGAAAAAGTGACTCAAACGTTTCTAGTTTTCTGCTCTAAATTTTTAAATATCATAAGTTTTTATTTTCAATTATCATAATCAATTGAAAATGATTCGACTTTTTTCACGTAGATTTCGAGCAGAAAATGGTTTTCTTTGATATGTGATGAATCAACAACTGAACAATTATACATCACCATTAGATCCATTGATTCTAACTACAAAATTTTTGAAGATGTTGTAGGGCTATATGAATTATCTGCACAAAATGCTCTAACAATTGTTAAAACAACTTATGATGTTACAAATCAATGTGGTTTGCACATGATTAATTGTCACGGTCAAAGTTACGATGGGGCATCAAACATGTCCGGAATACACGGTGGTGTATCATGAATAATTTTGAAGCAATATTCAAAAGCTATTCATATCCACTGTGTTGCTGATTGTTTAGATTTAGCCGTACATGATTTAATAGATCAATATGCTTCTATTGCTAACTGCATACCTTGTGTAAAAGACATTATTGATTTTATACGTCGATCACCGAAACGTCTTGTTATTTTGAAAGAAATATTTAATCAAATATCGTTGTCTTATACAAATCTTACAACATTATGTCCAACTACATGGACTATGCGCGCTGAATCATATGGTTCGTTATTAAAAACCTATGAACAGGGTAAAGGAATATTTACTTATATTAAAAAAAAGGCGGTATCATTTTCGTAATGCTTACCACATGATATATGGCGAAACGTAATCATGAAAACACTTGATTTTGAAGAAAGCTTCAAAACTATTAGGTAGGTGATCTTAAAACGATCAATATTTTCTGCCCATCTTCTCGTTTCTTTCGATACGTAAATTTTGTAAGGAAAACATTTGGTCAAGTACGAATAGTATCCTTAGTGATGCGATAATATCTTTGTTGGAACAAGAAGTATTATTTTTCGTTAGCTAGCTTTTAAAAACTTTATACATCGGTAGAAAATGCATTATCAAAATAGGTCTTTCACATTAGAAGTTTCATTCCTATACAGAAATAACAGAAAGTTTTGATATGTTCAGAAATGTCTTTTTGAATACACCAGCACTCATGTTAAAGCTTGCATAGTATTTAAATAGATTAAAAAAACATTTGAAAATCTAAAATTAAAATTGAATTTTAGTTCAAGAAGCCTTCTACACAATAAGTAAAGAAAAAGGTGGTCCTGGTATAAAAGCAAAAGGCTTATATGAACAGATGAACAAATTCGACTTTTTTTTTTGGATTAAAACTAGGTCATTTAATATTTACAGATACAGAATAGCTATCACGTGCATTTCAAAGTTCTGCTTGTTGTTTACAAGATGTTTTTTGTGCTGCTGAAGCAATTATTCATCGTTTTCGACGTATTCAAGGTAAAAAATAAACTCTGTAAACGATCAAATACATCTGTCGAAACTATCATTTCTTCTTTTTCATCTGATATTAATTTTGAATTGTTTTATAATCAAGTAGTTCAAGATAGTGAAGGTTTAACAGAAAAATCTATTCTATCTCGACTTCGAAGACCACCACGACGATATGAATCAAATACAATTCCTGTAAATCGTGCAAGTTGTGAAGACTTTTATCAGAAACAATATTTTGAAACATTAGAAAAAATTATTAACATGCTTCAACTCGATTTACACAAAAGAATTTTAAAATTTTATATGAAATTGAAAATTTTATTCTTAATATATCTAATAAGGCATTTAATGGTTCCAATGACTACATTAAAACAATTATGGATTTTTGTCATGATGATATTTATATTGAAAGATTAAAATCTGAAGCATTTATGATTTCAGACCTTTTTAGAATTGTTATTAACACAAATCAAATGAAAATGAAACTAATTACCAAAATGTCTACAGTTTGTGGAATTGGAAAACAAATGTTTCAAGAATTTGATAAATTAATTCGACTTTATTTAACTATTCCAATAACTACAGCAACTTCTGAAAGAGCATTTAGTGCATTAAATCGAGTGAAAAATACACTTCGAAGTTCTATGACTCAATCACGTCTTAATCATTGTTTATTGGCACATATTTATAAAGAAAAACTTGATAAAATAGATCCAAATCAAATCATGTCAACATTTATATCATCAAATGAACAGAGACAGCCATTGTTAGGACTGATGTTTTAATTCAAAATAAATTATTCTTATAGTTTAAAAAATTTTATCTTTCAGCAGAGATTTTGAAATTTTGTTGATAGAGATTAGTAAGATCAAGAGAGCTGCTTTTTTTTATAACAACAGCACCAAACAGTCTGAAAATGGCATATCATAAGGAATATTCAGGCCCCATTGGGCTCATACGTGAAACTATTTGTAGACGAAAATTATACTCGAACTAAACCTCACCTAATTTTGAGACCTTCCGCCGCTCCTGCTTTGAACTATGATTTATAATTGGGATAAAACTTTCGTTTTGCCTGCTTGGCCTACTTTTATATAAAAGCAGTCAAAGTTGGAATTATAAATTAGAGTCCGGATAAAATTTCAGCATTGATGATGTAAAATGCCTCTAAGCTTCAGTCATGAATTATAATTAGGAGAAAATTTTGGCCTTTTTTTTGTGGTATGTTGTCTAAAATCCATCAAAATTTGAATTATAATTTATAATTAGAATAAAATTTTTGTTTTCGCTCTCTTTTTAAGTATGCAGTGAGAATTTGAATTCTAATTTATAAGTGAGATAAAGTTTTGGCTATGATTTTTTGGGCTACTTTAAAATAAAAGCAGCCAAATTTGAATTATAACTTGTAATTCGAATAAAAATTTCGCTTCGCCTTTTTGAACCAGTTTGATAAAAAACTTCCCAAAACTTGAAACTATAATTTAAAATTGGGATGCAATTTTGGTTTTTGCCTTTTAGCCTCTTTCCGTATAAAATTAGGCAAAGTTTGAATTATATTGTACAATTCGGATCAACTTTTCGACTTTGTGGTTTTGGTCACTATTATATAAAATTAGCCAAAACTGAAATTATAATTTATAACTGGGGTAAAGTTTTGGCTGCTTTTAAATAAAGCACCAAAAATTCGAATTATAATTTATAATTGAAATAAAACTTTTTCTTCACCTTTTTGGATTAGTTTTAAGCAAAAATTCCCCAAACTTTGAATTATAATTTAGAATTGTGATCAAATTTTGTTTTTGGCCTTTTAAGATACTTTGGTATAAAAATAGCCAAAGTTTTAACTATAATGAATAACTGGGATCAAATTTTCGCTTTGTTTTTTTTTGGCTACTATTGTATGAAATTAGCGAAATTTGAAATTGGAACCTATCAATGGGATCAAATTTGGCTTTCGCTTTTTCGACTAGTTTTATGTAAATTTTGGCAAAATCTCAATTAGGATTTATAATTGGGATCAAACATTGGCTTTGGGTTTTGGGAGTAGTTTTATGTAAAGCTGGCTTACTCCTTTCCTTGGACGTTCAGTTTCCAAAAGTTTTTTGAAACAAATCTATTTATTCAAATATATTGTTGTTTTCTATATGAAACGATTGATATATCTGTCGTTTTCAAGTGGTTTGGCAGCAGACAATATGCCATAGAACTTTGACAATTAGCTCTTTTCAAAATGCTGCTCACAACTGCTCGGGTTGAAAAATCGGATGTAGGATCATGTAAGATCAGATCAAATTGCAGAAAGAAATCGTTGTTTCAGAAGTCTTACACTAAGTCATACTATGAGATTCTCGAAACATCTTCACATAAGATTTTCCATAGTCTTGTGTTGATATTTTACCAGACAGTAAGATCTTTTGAAAATCTTATAATATGACTAAGCGTAACATTTCTGAGACTACAATTTTTTTGTGCGAATTCTATCCAATCTTACAAGACTAAAGATGCGATCTTGTAAGGCCTTTACCATCTAATTGCTTGATGTTGGCAATTCTACAGAAAAACTTAAGGAAAATGCTTAGAGAACAAAAAAAGCCGTCATAAGCATTCGGACGCCCAGTGGTGTCTCAGTCCTCCGTGCTCCTGGTCCGAAAATGTCCAGTTTTTGCTGACTCTTCTCCGCATGGTGTGCGGCAAGCACAAGTTGAGAGCAGAAAAAAAAACTTTCGTTATCTTTGATAGCAGTTTTTTTGATTAAAATGTTTTTAATAACAGGTAAATATGCGTTTTGTAGCGTGCTTAATG